CGGTGTTAGACTCGATAGAATCTTTTTGATTCTCCCGAATATTCCTCCGATAATACCAATTTTGCCCTTGTACACGAAATTAACCTTAGGGGGTAATTGTAAGCATTTTATTTAAGGGTTAACTGCACATATTCATCTTCTTCGTCTTCTTCGTCCACCACCACGTATCAGACACACCACCAAACACAAACCAGGCAATCATAACCTCTCACAAATCAAACACCAACCACCACAACCTCTGATCCGCCGCACCACCCCCACCACCACCGAACCAATTTCAATCCATCCCCCCATATCTGCTAGTTCGATTTCGAAAAATCTGCTATTTAATCCGCCCCTTCACCATCACAAGGCAAAGAAATTGGGTTTTTTTCGCCGGTGCTCCGGTCTCAAAATTTGACTGCCGGCTGGTGGTTATTTCTTTGCCGCAATCAATCAACGGGTGACGGCGGCGGCGAATTGCAGTGGTGGAAGCAACCCATTTGGTGGAAATATGACACTGTAGCAAGGGATATACCTTCCGCCGTTGAAACCTTCGGCGGCGGTCCATCAATTTCAGCCCCAAACCAAATTTTTTTCTTTGAATCAGAGTTTGAATCCGCCCGAGGAATTTGAGTTTTTGGAATCAAAGCTTAATCAACAATACAGTCCTCAATTTGTTGTTTTTTTTTCGGGAGAGAGAAAGATTGATTAATTTGGTGTTTCGGTGTGATGTGCTTTCGGGTTATAGTCCTTAATTTTCGATGGACGATGAAGCAGAGGCGGCAGGCGGCGGAGGGCGACGAAGCAGAGTTGGGCAAGCGGAGGGCGGCGAAACAGAGGCGGCGGAGGGAGGTAAAGCAGAGGTGGCAGGCGGCGGTTTGAGGGCTGAAATGGATGAAGAGTAATTTGGTTGGGCCGGTGGTGACGGGATAAGTTTGGTTGGGGAAGATGCCCTTTTTCAAATAAAAAATAAAAAAATTATAATATCAAATTATCAATACAAATTACAAAGTAATAAATAAATTTATAAAAGCAATAAATCATCAAATGAAAGGGATGTCAGGGGGGATTTTCGTTATTTAGGCTTACCTCAGGGAGGTTTTGGTAATTTGCCCTTTATTTTTTACATATTTAACAGAAGGATATAATAGACATTTCACGTTTTCGGTTAAAAAAATTCGGTCAACCGTTAGTCAAGGGGGGTTTTCGTAATTACGAGAACATGGGGGGGATTTTCGTTATTTAGGCTTACCTCAGGGGGGTTTTGGTAATTTGCCCTTTATTTTAACCGGCCTAAGAAGTCATTACAAGATTGGAAATTTTAAGATCGTTGTTGGGCTAAATACCTAACACGCAAGTGCACGTATCGCAAACAAGTAGTAAAAGTGGACTCGTGATAGTCGGATGTCGATCCCACAGGGAATACTCAAATTATCTAATCCTAAGTACCAAATCTTAACAATTATGATTTTTATCCAGCCTACACAAGGTTGTCAAATTTAATCAATTAAACAATTAAATTAATTAAGAAAGCAAATAAGCACGAGAAATATCAATATAAAAAGGGATCTAGGATTTTATCTTCCCCCTATGCGATAATTCATCACCCAATTAAACCTCTATCATGCAAGTTACGATTCATGATTATTAACCCGAGGCACGAAATTACTCATAACCCGTTGTCGCGTGTATTATGAGTCTATTATTTATAACCGATTCACTATATGTCTATGCAAACCAATTATGAATAAAGGATTAACTAACAAGTCTCGTAAACGGCTACCTAAGGTATTATCTATATGTCTGCGATAATACATGCAATTAACACACTCATCCGGTGAAAACTACTCGAAGGCTCTTCTATCATTGTTCTAATTTTTAAAACGATCTGTCAATCAATTCTAACAATAACACATAGCAACATAAATTAGCTAGGTTCATGCGCTAAATAAGATCAAAATAAAGATATAATCACGGAATTTAAACTTGCATAATATTAGAAAAATAGGTTCGAATCACCACATAGGGTTCAAATAAAATCCTAAATTAAAAACTTAGCTACTCATGTTCTCTACGAAAAGCATAATAAAAATACGAAAATTCATAAAAGTAGAAAAATAAAAGTAAAGGGAGAACTATGATGAAGATTCGTCAAGTCTTTGTCTTCGTTGCTCCGCTTTCTTGCTCCTAGAATGCGTGTAAAAAGATAAGATCACCAATTGTGTGCTTGGCTTGGCCTTATATAGGGTGTAAAAATATAGGAAGGCGGTTTCCTTGTGTAATTAAACTTCATTCACTCCGCCTCCTCGTGATCTCGGGCGGTCGCGCCAGATTTAGCTCTAGAACTCGGACGGCCGTCCGGGCTTCAAATCTTCGATTTTTTTAATTTCTTACTTTTGGCCCACTTTTTCTCTGAAATTGCAGTTTTTACCCCATAATTTTTTAATTCTTCAATTTGTACCTAAAATACAAATAATCACCATTTTAAGCACCAATTATCGTTAAAACACACCAAAAGTTCCAATTAGAAGGTATTATTAAGTGTAAAAATATACACTTAACAATCGTAAGCAGTGGAATTTGAAAATTTCTTTATAATCTACATGCCCAAACTATATTTTTATACGATTTGGAATATTAGCGCTAAGTTCGCTTATCTCTCAATTAATATTACTTTCCTGCTAAGCTGACGTGGACTCGATCGAAGTCACTACAAGAAATATTGGTTTTAATGACGATTATGTATGGTCGCTAAAAGTTAGAAAATGGTAGCTAAAACTTCTAGCGACCAAATTAAGCTTGGTCACCGGTGGTCACAACAGGGTAGTTACTAAAAGTACTCAGTGACAAGAAAATTAATTGGACGCTAAAAGATAAGATTTAGCGGCGAACTAATAATGGTCACTAAAAATATAATTATTAACGACCAGTTTTTGACTCGCTAATGTAAATTTTATGGTTGCAATAATATCAACATGGTTGCTATAGCAACACATATAGTGGCCATATAATTTTGGTTGCTAAATGATATATACATACAGTGACCATATTTTATTGTTGCTATAGGATATATATTTGGCAACCACATATTTTGGTTGCTACATAATATACATATAGTGACGGTATAAATTGATTGCTAAAATATATGCATATAGTGACCATATATTGGTTGCAATAATTTTTACATAATTTCAACAATTGCATTAATTTACTGAGCAATTAGACCAATAAAAAAAAATCAAAACAAAACTAAAGATTGCAAATTTACATATTATCAATCAAATGTGAATATTATAATTTCAGTCTATCATACTCAATACAATAATAAATCAATCATTCTGAAAAAAATATTGCTATAATTATTTCATAACAAGTTCCACTTCATAAATTGTTACGCGACAACAAATATGACTTCCACAATAACGTTCTTTCACTTCATCAAACACTACCTGAAAAGGAAAAAAATAATTATTCAATTAGAAGACGAAAAATCATATGATAGAATTAATTTCAATTATTTGTCCACTTAGTAGCACTCATAATGCAATAATGTATATGGGCTCTTGCAGAAGTAGCTACTTACCTCATCCGGTCCATGTGTTTAATGTGATACATTGTCTGAGAATTATTAGTTGGGACGAAAATTCTAATTCATTTGTTCTACTTCACATATTAATTGAGGAAGTTTATAACAAAACAATTAATACGAAATATTGCATGCAATGGAACAGAACTTTGATTTCAGAAAACTCGCCTAGATCCCAATGCACAATATAGCCGAACCTGCTCCTCCTGACTCCCTTCATCTATTGACCACCAACCTAGTTACCTGATATAAAAAATTTATCCACAATCAGTAGAAGTAGAGAACTAATTTTGACAAACTTTATGGTTCATTTTTATATAATTTACATTCGATATACCTGGATGCACGACAAATAAATCTCGTATAATCGTGAGCAGCACCCGGGCCCCGGCAATCTAATATAATTTTCTGTATCAGCTCCATCTGATGTAAGAGTGTTGATTTGTTCAAATTTATACATGTCAAATCGTCAAACAAAAAACCTGCTCCTTGCTCCTTGCATTGACAAAAGAGAGAAGAAAAATTGAGTATATTTAGCAAAAAATGTAACGATGAGATCAATATATACAAATACCAACTCAATATTGTCCAACCAAGAAATTTACTTAACATACCCTCATATGATGTTATGTCAACTTTTGATCACATTACTTTAAACTTGTTGCTCAATGTGCACAAGACAAATTTCAAATAAATAATGGTCTAAATAGATGCTAACTAAGGACAACCAAGAAATTTACTTAACATACCCTCATATGATGTTATGTATAATTCATGCACATCATAGCAAATAATATTTTTCCTATTAAGCAACAATAAAGATATTACAAAGAAAAAAATAAACATAAATAAATAACACTCTTGAACCTAAATATATGGTACCAAAGAACAAAATTCAATACATACCGACCTTTTTTAGTAGAAGTTTCTTCCCATTGAAATCAATTTTCTCGTTCAGTTCCCACCTGTAATGTTTTGTGTTCTCCAAATCCCAATAGTATTACTTGATCAAAATAAGACGTGCCATACGAATTAAGTAAATAACTTGAAGAAATAACTAACAAAGTTTTCTCACCTCGAGTTAGCACCAAAAGCAGCACCATAGACCAAAATTTTCTTAGGTACACAACAACGAATGACATACCTGAAATATGAATCCATTAGTTTCTAAAGCTTCACTTTCGATCACATTACTTTAAACTTGTTGCTCAATGTGCATAAGACAAATTTCAAATAATTGATGACTCGGATTGATGCTAATTATGAACATTAAACTAGAAGCCAACGTTACTTGTGTCACATTTTCTTCCAAAAACTGTAGCAGGCCGTACGCTTATCCAAATTGGGAAAATAATATACAAAATAAAATTTCACAACTTTATCTACAATTTTTATGAAGATACCAACCACAAATTACTAAGATAACACAGCAATAACAGCCCGAAGAGATGAATACACAAAACTGTCAGAATTGTTTTGGACAAACTTGTTTGCTGTCACAGCTTCTTTGAAAAATCATAATAATTTGTAGAGTTATCCAAATTGACCAAATAATATACCAAATCAAACCTGGCAACTCAATATACAAAACTTCAGAAGACACATAGCCCAAATTATTACTCCAACATAACAAAAACAGCTCCGTAAGATGATTAGGCAAAACTGCCCTGTTTCTTGACAGATTCACTGTCGTCTGATTCCGACCCCTAAAAGGCTATAACACGTGCTCGAATTTGAAAAAATTAAACACTTACTCTTAGTTTTCGAGGTCCTCTACGAGTTTTGAGAAGGAATTATTCCCAAATTCACACTCCAAACCCTTCGATTTTGGCTCTGAAACAGGTGCGGTAGCAGATTTTATTTCCCTTAGGGTTCCGGCGAGCAGGCTGAATTTCACACCGAATTTCGGCGACCACCGCCGAATAAAACCGCCGAGCACCACCATCAATGGGAAGCTAACTTCTCGAGCTTTGTAACGGTACCTTTTATCATCAATAATCCACCGTTAAGACCTCCGTTCATTTAATTCTTTGAAGAGCCAAAAGCTGAACTCCAGATTACGGCCACCATCGGCGACCTCGGCCGGAAATCACCAACTCCCGTGTACATCTGAAATCCAATTATTCCAACGGTGGGTCCCAGGGTTCGCCGGAACGGAACGGGAACGGTGCCCTCCGTTCCGGAATCCCTAACCAAACCGATTTTTGCACTGTGACGCGTTGAAACACCGGGATAGCGGCGGGACGGGCGAGATGGAACCACAGAACGGGCCTGTCGCGGCTGGAACGGTTGGAGCAGCCGAAACGGTAGAAAAAATAATTGGAGGAAAATCTGGAAAAAAAAAAAAAAAAAAAAAAAAGGGAAAAGGAAAACGGAAAAGAGGAAGACGGGGAGGCCTAGTCGTGGTCTGATGGACACCTAAATCTCAGTCAAAAGTTTTTTAAGTTTCCAAAATTTGCAATCTAGTCCTTATTGCTTTTTATTTCTCTTAAAGTAAAGAAATATTTTTATAGCTTACAATTTCACCCTCTATTTATACTTCTCAAGGTTTAAAAAATTGTTCTAAAATTAAGATTAGAGTTTTAATGATAATTTGTATAGTATTCTACTATAATATTAATATTAAAACTTATTTGATATTAATTATATTTTTCGTATGTTTATTATAATTTATCCGTTCCTGCCGTGACGCGACCGCGACGCAGTCTTTCCATTATTTGAAAGAAATGCGTGTAACGAAAGAATGAGAATTGCCTTTGTTTTTCCATTGTTTGCATTTTCTCCCTCCATCTTTTTTTCTTTTCTTAATTTGTTTAAAAATTAAATTACTACATAATCGATTAGATTTCCATAAGTAGTTTCATAGCAACCAAATTAAAGTGGTTACTAGGAACTCAATTAGATGGTTGTTAATAATTAAATTAAAGACTTGTAGCAACTGTCAAAAAAATTGATGTTAAATTGGTCGCTATTGACACTAAATTATAGTGACCATAAAAATTGTCGCTACAAACTTTAACTTTAGTTGCTACAAGATGTCTAATTATTAGTGACCACTTATAGCTACCAAATGTTCGTCGGTCGCAAAAGGATTTACTCCTTCCGATTTTTGCTACCAAATTACTTTTGGTCACTAAATGTGAATATTCAGTGACCATTTAGTTATGGTCGCTGAGAATTTGGTCACTGAAACTAGTTTTTCTTGTAGTGATAAGACAAAATCAAAACTAGTTCAACTATCGCTCAGTTATTGTCAAATTATGAGAACCCATCATATTTGTGTAATTACAGTCACCTCCTCAATTATATATTATCTTAGGAAAAGACCCCTCCAGAGGTAAATTTAGGAATGTTAATTCAGTAAAACCGAACCGAATTTTCGGTACGCCAACATTTCATACCGTTTAGCAAACTAAATATACGATTTGGTTCGGTAATAACCGACTTACATAAATTTTATGTAAACATATTTAAAAGGAAGGAATGGTTGTAATTAGTAATTACTCAAAGAAGAGGATTTTTTTTTCGTAATTTGCCATACATCCGGCCGGCCTTGATTTGGAAAAAAAAACGACATGCACGCACATAGCAAGAATAATATAAGTTCAAATCTAACACATACATGTTGGCTCACAGTTCTGAGTTCTGACAGAAAATCCAAATGAAAAAAGAAAAGTAGTAATAGAAATAATAAAGATGGAAGAAGAAAAATATAATGTATGGTCCATCACTTTAATAATACAATCTTTAATTCTTTAAAGCAGTCATTACTTCCAGCTGTTCTGAAAACTGCCACTCAGTTATTGCATTATTATTACAATACATTTCAATTGTAATTATATTCTTTTTTCTAAAAAAAAGATTTGATTTTGATTTTGATTGTATAGAACTGATATGCCTAATTGGGCCAACCCAATGGGCCTACAATTTATTTACCTACTGGGCCACGAGCCCAATATCGAAGACCACTATCACCGAGGCCCAATCACCTTCAAGCAAGGTTTGGGGCCCGACAATCTCGACTAAGCTATAAATACACCTTTGAACTCATTCCTTAAGGTACGTCCTATTAACTGAGCAATACTACAATACGTATTCTCTGGACCATTTCTATGATCAGCACGTCTGACTTGAGCGTCGGAGGGGTTTCCGCCGGATCAACCCCCGGCGTAGTTCACGTGTGTTCATTTCGCAGGTACCTCAGGATCATCAAGTTGTCAAGCTACTGATCTGCTTTGCTCTCCCAGTTCATTTTCTACACCACCCCAGGTGATCTAAATAATTAGCATCATCATTTTGGCGCCGTCTGTGGGAACGATGCAAACCAGATCACGTAGCCAACAAGATCCTCCTGAGGCGTCTGCTCGGAGAGAAAATGACACAGCTAACGACCTCCCACCTTGTGGAGGCTCTGGCTTGCCACCTCCTCCACATCCCATGGATCCGCCTCGCGAGGTTCAGGTGATCCCCCCTCGGGACCAACCACTCGCCGATCCACCACTCCCTGCTCCTCGAATGGTTCAAATAACCGAGGATACGCTTCAACGCATGATAGCAGAAGCTTCAACTCGCGCTGCCACAGAGGTCGAGACCCAATATATCGCCACGATGGGAGCAAATGCTCCCAACGCCATACCAGCACCTGCTCCACATGTGGAGCCACCTATGGCACCACCGCCATCGACTCCCTGGGGGCTTACATATGCCCCCAAAATATTTCGCTCGCCAAGGGTTATCGATTCCCTGGGAGCTTACATCTGCCCCCAAAATATTCCGCTCGCCAAGGGTTATCGACTTCCCTGGGGGCTTACATCGCCCACCAAAATATTTCGTT